CCAGCTCTTTATATGCACAATTGTTAAAATGTTCCTGCTGATTTGTGCTCTTTTTTTGTGTTAATTTGGTAACCTAGCCCTGAAAACACATCATTGGATAAATGTTGCTGTTAAAGTGTACAATTTCCATGTCAATTTACATTCTGTTACTTAATATAAGGAATTGCAATCCACACTTAAGAGAACGGTCTTCTTATATTGTTTTATTTTACATCCATTACTGGGGAAAAAACACACAAGCTTCCTTCGTATTCAATTCATCCCTCCATTCATGCCATAAAATCAGCGGATATGTCGGCACCAGAGGTGTAGTGGTTAGTGTATCGACACATGCACTCCGGTGCTCACAGCGAACCGAGTTCAACGCCTCGCGGTCCTATGACAATCCTTCCCCTCTCTCTGCTTTCAACGTTTTCCAGTCAATTCTATCTACTTTCCTATCCAAATTAAGGTGAAAACCTCAAAATTAAAAAAAAAATAATAATAAAAAATAATCAGTGGAAATCCTTCATTAGCTATTTTTCAATTACTAAAATCATTAAACTAATTGAACTGATTCCATTTAAATACTAGACAATGTCTAGTATCCAAATCCACCAAAACCTACACCATAACCAAAAACAAGAACTATCCAGGATAACACATACACCATCATTGTGCAAATCCACAATTTAAACAGACAACCATCAATATCTACTTCCCCAATCAGCTTTAGATTTCCTAAGAAAGGAAAATTCCATGATCCGTGGCAATTTGTTACTAATAAATAATTTGTACCTAATGTATTTGGTTCACATTATACTGACTTTTCAGTTTTTAAAACAGGTTTGCCAAATGTCTACCATTGGTCAGCCAAACATATAGTCCTACCTCCAAACTCACACCATTAGTTGAATGTCCCGGGGATTGGCAGATCAGGATGCTCAGCAAAATGTTTTTGTAACGCCACAAAGCCACAATGTTTGCACTTTTCAGTGTAATCAACCAAACGGTTTCCTTATAGCATGAAAAAAAAATCAGCTTTAACATCTACAAGCAAATCAAACAGTTACTAGTGCTAAGTGCACGCACAGGGTCAAGTGTTCCGGGGAAAAAAAAAAACCTGGCTGTCCTGCGATTATAAAATATACATAAATCAGCTGCACATCAATGCAATTCAAATGGAGCAAAACTCAAACACGGAGCGGTTCAATCAAAAGCATCAAATAAGGGGAAATCATTCTGCGTTAATAAATGCGTTGTGATGCTCGAGTCTTGCGACCGCGATGTCCAAAAAGCTCCAGCTTAGCCGGCACAATTATTTAGCGAAAGGTCAGGTTTTGAAGTCGAGATCAGGGAGGTCTGCCTCATGGCTTTGTTGCTAGGGCTCTGCTCTCAGGATTGCTGGAGACAGTTATTAGTATTCCCCGTAAGACTCGCCCGTGCAAACACCAAATTCAAACCATGAATAATAACGCCAAACACACTTATAGAAGCCCTTTGTCACATTGCAAATATGCGACTTTTGGATACATTGTTCCCTAACCTGGGTTACTTCTTTAATTTTATCTCCCTCTCCGGGTGTCTCTCACAAAGGTAACTGCCCCTGAGAATGTGTGTTTAAAGCGCCATTTCCCTCACAAATGGGGTGAGCAGGGCTTTTAATCTAAGCGTGCAAAGTAAAGGCCCATTTCCTATGGGAACCAAGCGAGAATGGACTCAAATTCAGAACTAAAACGTTGGCTCCCATTCCATTCACGCAGAACTGGAATGAGAGCAAATTGGCCTTGATTTAAGGTGTCATTCTTATCATCTTTTTGTCTCCAGTTTAAAGATGCAAATGAATTAGAACATTCTAGAATCTGTAACTACATCTCACAGGTTCATTATCTCATAATAACCATAAACAAATCTCAGGTTCATAAAAGGAATGACAAAAAACTAAATTCATTAGATAATAAATATGAATAAATGATTAAATACATCTTACATCAATTCCTGAACAAATTTAAATGCATTAAAAATGAAGTAATATTGTTTTTTTTTAAAGTGTTAATTGCTTTCACCGTTACTCCAACTGAATTGATCGTTCTAAATGCAAATTATAAAAAAATATATTTTTGAGGCTATTTTTAGTTCTTTTGTGTTTTTAAATTAATAACAATGTCAGAAAGAAATATACACCCATTTAGGAATAGTCAGGATGTTATAGATATGTGGGTTTATTTTAATAAAGTTATTCTATTACAAAATGTAAAAACAGTTTTATAGGCTGCCTCGGGAGATCTAGTGTTAAAGACCCAAGATTTAACAGAGTCATTTTGTGGATTTGTGGAGCTGCGCATTGATAGATTTGCTATTCAGTGTTTGGACTTTCAGCAGTGAAAATTAAACCACACTGAAATAAGCTTCAACTCTGAAAACTGGACTGATACAGTTTCAATTTACTAGAACTTCTGTTACGCTGCTTTGAAACAATCTACATTGTAAAAACGCTATAGACATAAAGATGAACTGATTTAAATTGTTAATTTGTACATCAGGCTGTCTTTGAGCTAAATATCGTTTGTATAATATGTATACAACCATTTTTTTTTGTCTTTCTACATTGTGTAAATTTTGTCTGTTTGTCTGTTTAGAAAGACTGTAGCATACTGTTCTGCAAGAAAAAAGTCCAATCTAAGTCTGACAATGAACTGATCTCATATCAAAAAACAAATAAATAAATAAATAAATAAATAAATGCAAATTAGAAGTCTGCTTCCATTTTGTTTTCTAAAATGTAATTGGAATTTAACATTTACTTTGGTGTTATGGGGTGCATTTCCGAAAACCATCGTTAGCCAAGGTTGCAAGTTCCATCGTTACAAACATAGTTTGTTGATTTGGCTTTCCCAAATCCATTGCTCCATCAAACATTCGCAAACTGCGTTGCAACTTGTGCACTTGCAACTACATCTCTGGAGCTGTAGTTAGAAACAGTTCCTGGCTGTGTTCTATTCCCAGTTATCCCCCAATATGCTCTGTTCATTTACAACATTCTAACATTTGAAATTGGAATTATTCAAAATAAAAAAGCATTGAAGTCATCTCTTTTAAGTGTAATTTGCCTTCAAAGTATTTTTACAGTTCAGTTTTAGCGATCTTCATGTTTACAAATGCGCTTCCTTCGCAGTGCACTTTGAAAACATTGATGTCATTTTGAACACAGCCGTGGCTCATGATGAAAGCTATAGGTGACCTATTATTTAAAACTGCAACTTAAATTAAGTATCCAAAGCTTGTGAGAACAAAAAAACACAGCATACGTATATACTTTTAATTTATAGCAGGTCTTTACTGTATGACATGGTTGGTTAAAACATTTTTGCAGTGGTTTGCATGTGTCAAATTGTAAAAGTAGACTTTTCAAAAAAATTTAAAATAATATCTACCTAATATTAATTATAATATCAATAATAATAATAATAATAATAAAATAACAATAATTATTAATATTATTAAATTAGGATTTTTTTCATTTCCTAATAAATAAAAAATATTAAATGTAATTTCTTAATAAATAGCCTCATTATTTATTTATTTATTTATTTATTTATTTATATGACTTATATATGATATTTGAATAGGTGTTAGCTTTTGTAAGTGATTTTATGTTTTAGAATAAAATATGTAATGTTCTCCACAATATTTGTATAGAAAACACAGGCCCTATATGTGCCATTTACATATATTTCAGTTTATATGGAAAACGAGTGTTTTTACCAAAACTAATATTGGATTTAATTTTTTAAAATGCGTGTGCGTGTTAAAAAATATAACTTGCACAAAGAAATGATGGGGTTCTTCTCTAAGGAAGTTGTCACTTCACCCTGCTTAGAGCATCATTATGGATGTTTTAGGCTATAACTAACGTAGTTTAAACAATGGATCTGCAACAGAGAAACTACGGGTTTTGGGAAACACGCGTCACTACATTATTCTTTTCCAAAACGATGCATCGGACTATGATCAGCCGAGAGTTACATCGTAGTTTGGGAAACAAACCCTTAATTTTATAAACGCAAGCTGTTTTAAGTCAGTTTAACATAATAAGTTCAATGGACTCATTAGATTAATTTGATTCAGATTAAAAATGTAGGGAATCCAGGATTTTTTGTTTACAGTGTGGCTAACATTGTTTATTAAACTGAATTCAAAACATTAAAAATAACCTAAAATGAACTCAAGTATTTTTATGTGAAAAAGTATTTTGAATTGTGAAGTGGGTTTGAATTTTATTGCTTTTAATATAATTCCAATTTAATTCTAAATTAAAATTAGCATCCTCATTTAAAATTCTGCAATGTAACTGCATTAATCAGTTCAATTCTAAATGGTGCACAACAAAAGGTCACATTTCATGTAATTAAAGAGGGAAAAGTGACCAGACATGATGAGAGAACACTCACACGGCCATTTGCTCCTGATAAAGAAAATACAGCAAGCAGCAGTCCCGTGCCGTCTTACTAATGTCTGTCACTAATAATCAAACACAGGCTGATTAACCGCCTGCAAAAAGATTGAAGTGTTTCACCAACAGCCCAAATGTATATTTGAGCAGCGAGGCAGAATAAATTTGCATATCAGGAGCGTCTGGTGAAGGGTTGGTAAATACTCTGTTTATCTCTCATTGTCATTCCAACCAGTCTATCTAAATAGTGGCTCTTCCACAGCGTTACGGCTGAGGTAAAGTTATTATCCTGCAGCCCGGCATTGTGGAATAATATAAATAATGTTTATGTCGATAAATGTATAAATAACATGCAAATGACTGTTATTGTATTGTTCAAACCATTTAAAGCAATGAGAAGCCTGTAGTCTTCAATCACAAAAATGAAAAATGCTAAATATGCATAATAAAAAAGCAGGATAGAGTCATAATGACTGTCAAATGACACAATTAACTTTTTAATGTGACATAATTTTGTGATTGGATTTTAATTATCACCAAAAATAAATTCCCATTCATAATTAATTACCTTGTAAGAGTTTTTCCTCCAGGGATTTTGATATACTCTGACACTGGGATGAAGCTGAGGTGGTTTCTCCAAAAGTGGACCTGAAAAAAAAAATATATGCAAAATAAAGATATATCATTTATATAACACTTTAATATGTGACCGCAGTTGACTGTGCAATACTCTGTCTGACATGCAGGTGAAGACAGGTACAGGATATTGACAAACTGTACATCAATGACACTGCTTTGAAGGACCTGCATGTTTTGTTTCAAAGCGCTGAGTAAAGCACATAAAGCAAATATCAAAGACCTTCAAGGGTCCTGACCCAAAGACGACGCACTGCAAATAAATGCCTTTTTACTTCAGGTTTCTATTTAAATATTTGTAAAAAAAAATCTTAAAATAAAAAGCTTTTTGGATTTAACTTTTTAGTCTTGTTTTATTTTTATTATATAATTTTAAGAAGACATCAAAATTAAGTAAAATAAGCTAAATAATAGTTTAGCAAAAACATCTTGTTTACAGTTAAGGACAGATTATATTTTACTGACCCCACAGGCAGATTATTAAGCTTGTTTTAAGGAAAGGCACATTTAAATATTCACTTATTTCTGAAAACTAAAAAACTTGTCTGGAAAATTCTTCTTGATTTAAGAATTTTTTGATATTTTAACTTGAAACAAGTCAAAACACTAAAAAAGAAAGCATTTTTTTTCAGGGTTTCTACACCAAATTTAAGACTTTTTGAGACCTTTTTAAGACAATTTTAACCCTTTAATTACCCCACTAAGAATTCGTTCAACTCCTTAAAGTTTAACTAAAATTTTACTTAACTCCTAATGTCGCTAGTTTAAACACTCAATGCATTTTTTTCTCAACACATCCCATAATTTCTTAAATATTAACCTCTACCAAAATATAGATATGTCGGTTTATGATAAAAGTACCAGAATTAATACATATTCTATGAAAAATATATTCAAAATAAAACATTTTTGAACACTAAATCACCTTTTTTGTAGTATGCCATAAAAATTTTCAGATTCTAATTTAACATGCTTTCTTGTTATGTTTTGTTTTGTTTTTTTACAATAAAACCAAAATCAAGTTTAGTAGTGCAACGGGATTGTTTATTTATTTATTTATTTATTCATTTTGTAAACCAACAATGCTGTGTCTGTAAACCATTATTAAAAAAAAGTCACTTTTTAAATGGCTTTACCAGTCATTATTTAAAACATGGTAAAAACATGGTCAACTGTTTGGTAAAGCGGCAGTCAAAGGTTTAGGACCAAAATGAATAAAATTTCAGACTTGCATAAGGCAAAACGCTATATTTATATATATATATATATATATATATATATATATATATATATATATATATTACTGGCCAATTTAAACCTTAAAAAACATTAAAAACACATATTATTGTAAGAAAGATAATTAAACTATAATAATAAGTACATAGAGTTAATTAATAAACAATTCTTAAAACTTTTATTGAAATATATTGTTAGTGATTGGGTGGGTGTTGGCCCAACTGGGTATAGATTTACATAGCAAAATTGCAGATAAAAAATTAAGACCCAATTAAATTTAATTAAGAACTAAATCACAATAGTTGATTTAGAACTTTCAGGCCTAAAATTCATTTTTTTATTTTTTATTTTCTTTATTTAAGACATTTTAAGACCCAGCAGATACCCTGTTTTTGCATAACATTTAAAGCTTGTATATGTAAAAATATAACCAAACCGTAATTAATATAATGCAAACTAAGCTTTTAATATCAGCATGCACACACACCAATAAATAATGTTACATGATTTAAAATTAAGAATGTTTAAAAAAAAAAATCCTACCTAATCTAAATTGTGCAATAATAATTGTTTAGTAGGTTTTATTAAGTTGCATTTTTATGGTTAAGTACCATGAATGATTTTATTGCATTCTAATTGTATAAAAAAATTTAATAATAACATAAATCATTCAATAAATGACCTAAATTCTGAATTACTTTAAAGTTATTAAACTCTTTTACTGCAAATCATATACAAATACTACTATTGTTGCAAAATGTCATTATCCAGTAAAGTAAGTTGTAGTCGACCACAAAAACAAAGGCAGAGATTAATGTAAATAAAAATAAATGCATATTTACATAGCATTTTCATTAATGACACTTTAAATACAAGCATATTGAAATAAGCACAAACCATTTCCAGCACAAACATTACACCTGTAACCAACTTACATTTGCATTGCACTAAAGATGAACAAACTAACCTAGCAGCTGATTTTTAAACATCGTAACACCGTTTCGGATTTAGAAAACACATCTCTGCAAAGATATCATTACAGCGTGTAATCATCGCCTGCAATGTACACTGATAAACATTTCGCACATATTAAAAAAAAAATCGTCCTTAATTGTAACACGTGGAAGAAAGCCATTGACAAACACGGTAAAATGAGCCGAGGAAGGCATCTTTACCCAAGTTGTGGTGTGGTCTCTGAACAATGGTGCTTTACAGGGGACGGCAGCCTTTGTTTCAGTTCTTCATTGACTTTAGGATTAGCTGGAAATATATAGAAGGGATATGATTAATTTCAGCGCGGAACGAAAAAAAAAAATGCTTTTCATCACAGGCTCACTTCTTTTCCATTAGACTTAGAAAGGTTAGTATTAATTACAGCCTGTCAATATGATCTCGGGGTGCTTGGTGGAGAGCGATCTTTAATAACCTCTGGAGAAGAGGCAGCAAAACAAGACAGGCGGCTTTTAATTTGCGGTGTGAAATTATGCTTTAAGACTTTGTCGTTATCTCATCCACTGTGTACCAGTGCTTTACCTCGCAGTTTATGGAGGACTAATGAACGCGGGCAATTAACAAAGCGTAATCCCACCATGCAATCGTTTTAATGCTTTTAGCTATCAGGAAAGTAAACAGCCATTTAATACAGCTCAAGCCATATCAGATCCTAGTCAGGAACCGCCAATTAAAGCGTCATCTACTCAGGTGTAATTAAATAATGGTGGCTAATTCAGTTCCGCGAACGGAAGCTAATTCATAAGCAAGCAACAAACAGACAGGAGGCAATTAGCAGGAACGCTGACATTCAGACAGCAGAGCCTGTTGCTTGTAATGCAGGAGTCATGGTGGAGAGCTTCCCTCTAGTGGCGGAGCTTCTGAGATATATCAACTTCACACACACACACACACACACACACACACAAACTGTAAATATAAACACTTACAATTGTACTTCTGTCAATTGTAGGTGCCTTGTGGCATCACATTTACAGAGCAAATTAATGCAGGACATCTTTAAGGAACACAGACTGTTCCTCTTGTATGTATAGTTCCCTTCTCACCCAGAACTTGGACTTGTCATTTTTAGCCAAAGTGATATTTTAGAGTCATGCATGCTTAATCTAAATCAGAGATGCCCAAACTAGGGCCCACGGGCCAACGTTGGTCCATGCTAACCTTTGATTTGAAAATTGATGGGGAGGTGGTTGGGATAAAATTCCTTGACAGATCGTCATTTCGAATTTAATGTAACCTTTCGCTTGTTTGATTTGTAATGTCTTTTGTTTTGTAAATGAATCTGATTCTTAAAAATGTAAATACGGTCACTCGACAGATAGAAGGCAAAGCAAGACATCGGTGAGCAAATCAAGGCAATTAATGAATTCTGGTGTCATTATTAGGATTGTTTATGTTTTTTTTTTGATAAGTTAATAAAGTTAATAGTTAATATAATTTAAAGCAATGTTTTGTTGTTATTTTTAAACATTAGGAAATTAATTAGGAAATGACTCGTGGAAACCCTAATGCAATACTGTTTGGTATATTTACCTTCGGCCCAAAGCCCTCAATCAAGTTTCTTTTTTGGCTCTTCATAAAAAACAGGTTTGGGCATCCCTGTTCTAACATTTATTTCCTGATATTTCTTACTTGGAGTTCTGCGTCTTGGTTTGGAAAGCTGAAACAAAATATTTCGTACTTCACACATCTATTAAGCATTTTTAATGTTCTGCCCTGAACTGATCTAATTAGGTTTTGGATCCTTTTTTGTATTTAAGAAATTAAATTTGAAGCAACCGTAAATGTTTTTAAAGTCTTTAGTTGCAAATAGAATTATTAACCCCCATGAATTATTAGCCCCCTGTTTATTTTTACCCCCTGTTTCTGTTTAATGGAGAGAGAAGATTTTTTAACATAATAGTTTTATTAACTCATTTTGTCAGACCCAGCCGAGGCTCGAAACAAAGACCTTCTTGCTGTGAGGCGATTGTGCTACCCAATGAGCCACCGTGACACCTATATTGCCTTATATTATCTTATATTAGTCTTTATATCTTACATTCTCTTATATTAAACGTTCTTATATCTTATTTGTTTAAAAGAGTTTGAAACGTTATGTAAGGTTCTTTTATGGCATTACCACAAAACAATCACAAGTAAAAATAGATCTTTAATCATAAAACAAGAACATTAAATGAATAAATGGAAAAGTATGTAATTTTCCACAATTTATATTTCCTTAAAAAAATTTCTTCCTCATTCTTACACTGTAAAACCCATAAGGTTAAGGTAACTCAAATCATTTGAGGAAACCGATTGCAACAAACCATTTATATTTAAAAACTAATCTTAATGAGTACTGTGAACTTAACCCATTTGAATAAATGAAGCTATTTTGAGCACAGTAAAACCCAATAAATGAAGAGAACTCAAACCAACTGAGTACTGTAAAACCCAATAAGTTAAGGCAACTCAAACTGTTTGAGGAAACCGATTGCAACAAATAATTTGAGTTAAAAACTAATCTATGTGAGTACTGTGAACTTACTCCATTTAAACTGAAGTAATGAGGAATTTAATTAACTCTACCTTCAACACTGAGTTCAAAACTCTTTTCAAATGAGTAGAATTAACTTTTAGCATATTTAGAGTTAACCACACTCATTTCAATTGATAAATTTGACTGTTGGGATTTACAGTGTAGGAAAAGTATTTTTAGCTTACTAAAATGCCTTAGAAAACTTTTACAAGAACATAATTCTTTAACAAACTCTTAACTTAATGTTTTCAGATAATTAAAAAGACAGCTTTTAATTCATAGTTCTTTATTGACATAAAAGAACCCCTTAAAATTCAAGAACTCTTTTTATTCTAAAAAGATTCTTTACATTGTAAAAACAAAAAAAAAGAAAACAAAGAAAAGGGTAATTAGGTTATTAAAATCTGCTGAAATCAGCTTCCATAAATGATTAGATGTGCTCCAACATTAGGCACATTCAAATCAAGACTGAAAACACATCTGTTTACCTGTGCCTTTACTAAATAAACACTGTGCTATGTCATGACAGATCTCTCTATTAAGTCTTTCTTTTTTTTAAATTGTTTTAAAACCTGTTTTAACACATTTTAATCAGTTTTTGAAATAATTTTTAATTATTTAAATGATTTTATTTACTTGTTTCTTTTATTCTTGTTTATGTAAAGCACGTTGAATTACACTCTAAAAAACGTTAAGTTATTTAACCCAATGGTTGAGTTAAAAATATTTAATGTTTTGTTGGGTTATCTTTCACCTTTATTGGGTTATTTATTAATAGCTCAACCAGTTGGGTTAAATATTTGGTGCTTTGTTGGGTTGTTTTTAACCTTTATTTGGTTATTTATTTAACCACTCAACCAGCTTCAACAGTCAACTGATTTAACTGACACAGAACAGCTGTATTATTATACGTGTGATGTGTGTAATGTTGTTTTTGCGTTATAACGTTTATTTAAGCTTAAGCTCAAGTTTATTTTTTTTAATCAAATTACCTCTCCGTGTTGTGTTTTTTCTGTCCGTTTCACCTCCACTCTTAACTACTGATGATACAAACGTGCGATTTGTAGCCAATCTATATTAAATGGATAAAAATGTTGTGTCCGGAACTTAAAATGTAGTGGCAATAAAACATTTTCCATATTTTTTAAAACTGCATGTTATTTATTTACACAGCCATAATTATAAAAGTAATAGTAGTATGAGTTATAGTAGCAACAGTAATAAAAGAATTGGAAAAAAATAACATTTAATCAAAATTACCCAACGCATTGGGTTAAAATAACTCATCACTGGGAAGGTGCATTAATAATATATATATATATATATATATATATATATATATATATATATATATATATATATATATATATATATATATATATATTAGGTTATATGTAATATTTTTAGCACAACTATTTTAACCATTGTGTATGATATATGCTATATAAATAAACTTGCCTTGCCTATTTTAAAAACTGGATTCTTCTAATCTATGATCATACTTTTGGATTAATATTTAGGAATGCATAAAACCCTAAATATTTATATCGTACATTCGTAAAAACATTTATATCATAAAAACATCAACGTTTAGTTCATCAAAAAACTCCTTTAGCCCTTAAGGAACCATATTTTTCCTACAGGCTGAAAAATTGTAATAATCTAATAATAACTGAATATTTGTTTCCACTAAAAAGAACTTTTGGTGCAATTAAACGGTTCCACAGATGTTTAAAATGATTTTTGCTGCTGGTTAAAACTACTTATTTAAAATGAGCTTAATTTAAAAAAAAATCAACTTTATTGTTTTTATGTTCAATCTACTTACATTTGCGAAAACAGTAAAATAAATAAATAAATAAATCAGTAGTTATGTAGACTTTTAGTTTACTGGATGTACTTTTTAAAAATTATATTTAAGGTATTTAGTTTTTTTTTTTCCAAGCTTCATACAAGAGATTTAAAAGGTGATTGGCCCAAAAATATTTGACACAATCTGTCTTGGCCAATGGGGTGAGTTTAGGGCAGGACTATCTGTTTGATGGGGACAGGAGTACTAGGGAATTATACTACTAATTTTATTAATAATTAATAATAAAATACTAATTTATCATTAAAATAAATGAAATGAAATTCTTTTTTTAATTTCTTTAAAAAAATAAAGCAAAAGTTTTATTTTAATTAAATTATTTTTATTACATTTAATAAATAAATAAATAAAAATAAAACAAATAAAATAAAAAACTTAATATTTTACGTTCAATCCACTTAAAGTTGCAAAAACAGTCAAGTTAACTTAATCAGTTTGTGTTGAGACAACATAAAGGAATTGTGAACCACCCAGCATCTGAAAAACCACAAGACTACCAGTGACGGTCTTCATGGGAAAAGGCAAGAAAGGTCGTGAAGAAGCTCTAGGGCAGGACAGACAGCCAGCATGAGAGAAAGTTGGCAGAAGATGGCTATAAGAAGACATAAAAAGTGAGTGCTCTTGGGAGGTTGTGCGCTAGGCGGGTGGGACTGACCCCTGGGGCAGATGCCAGTGGAACGTTATCCGCGCGCTGTAAGCCAGCACACACAGCTCACACCGCTCACACGCTATTCAGCTCAGACACAGTCAGGCGTGAACGGACAACTGGCTTTTTGTGCCAAACACCGCAGGGCTCCATTAATCTCAGTGATAGACTCGGAGCGGGAGCTGGCCCCGCGCGCCGCACTTTCACAGAGA